TTTCCAATTTTGCCCTTGATGTGATGGGTAAAAGTAAGATGTGATAGTTTAGTTGTTAGTAAAAAAGTATGATGTGATAGGTAGGGTATGAAAAAGTAGGGGTAAAAGTAGTTTTTTAATAGAAAAGAGAAGTGTTTTAAGAAAAACAAAAAAAATGAAAGAAGAAGGGTTTTAAGAAACGGAGGGAGTATATTATTATTATTATTATTATTATTATTATTATTATTATTACAACTGTTATATTCATAACTATAGTTTATAAATTATTTTTTTCATCTCACTATTTTTACGATTCACAGTTATTATTTTTTTCTTCAACTTTTTAATATGAATAAGACATTTTTTTGTATATTAGCCTACATGATAAAACAGGAAAACATCAATATGTTAATTTATACTAAAAATTATGGATAAAATAGTTACATTGGATGTTTTATTAATATAACTTTTTATAAGAAATCTTAGTTTTCCCTTTATTACTTAAAAAGTGCTCATTTTTCTAATTTTTATAAAAAAATTGTAAGTCAAAAGCTTAGAGAAAAAGACTAAAATACGAATAAAACATAAAAAAAATGTAAACAAAAAAGTTCTATGTCTTTATTCCAAAAATAGGAATTCGATGAAAATAAAATGTCAATCATGAAAGAAACAATAGGTTTGATTATGTGACATGTATGATATTTAAAACAAAATGTTTTAATATATAAATTATAATTACAAATATATTATTTATAATAAATACTGCATAAATAAATTGAGGTGCAATATAACTACACAGCCTTTTTAAAATTTAATATTTTTATATTTATGCTAACTTTATATTATAATTATTTTTTGTAAAAATAGTTTTTTGTATTTAAAAAATAACAATACTTTTTTTATATCTTAAAGACATTCACTAAGATAACGTGATGATGATGATGAGTATGATGATGATAATGATAATAATAATAATAATAATAATAATCCAGCTCTTTTTTTACAGTCCTAAAGAACAGGTCCTAAGTGAAAAAATGTATGAATATAATTTGTTTTTAAAAAATTACAAGCTACTCACTAATTTCCTTTTATGAAATGAAAAAAAGTAAAGAGTTTATTTTAGTACGGATGAATTGAAAAAAGAAAAATTAAGAATTTTATTTGAGGAATACTCCTCCATATGAATTGTGAGAATAAAAAATCTCAACACCTTTTTCAAGAAGAAACGAAACATTTGAAAGATTAGAAAATCATACATATTAACCCAATTAACTAACTCAAAATAAAAAGATAAAAACAAACCCATCTTATTTAACAAGACCCAACAAAGAATATTCATGCACAAATGAAGTCAGAAGGAGGCTGTTGTTTGCCACAAGTGTTGAGTAGCAGACTGAGTGAGATGGGAATGTCATCGTTAAGCAAAACAAACGATGTAAATGGCAAAAAAAAAAAATCGCGTACCGCTTAACTTTTGGATCGGTTATTCCTAATAACCGATTCAAATACCTTTTGAATCGGTTATTAGGAATAACCGATCCAAAAAGCTAATAAGCATTTGGATTGGTTATTCCTAATAACCGATTCAAAAGGTATTTGAATCGGTTAATAGGAATAACCGATCCAAATGCTTATTAGCTTTTTGGATCGGTTATTCCTAATAACCGATTCAAATAACCTTTTGAATCGGTTATTAGGAATAACCGATCCAAAAGAGTCTGATAAAATACATCCAACCCTATCTTATCCTTACACGATTTTGAAAAAAAAAACCTCCGAACCCTTTCTAGCTTCGTCTTCGTCGTGCTCCTCGACGTTGCCTTCTCACCCTCACCGTTGTTTCCTAGCCTTGCCGTCGTCGTTGCCTCGCCTCGCCGTCGTCGTGCCCGTGCCGCCTCGCCGTCGCCGTGCCCGTGCCGCCTCGTGCCCTACTCCAGCCTCGCCGTCGCCGTGTGCCTGTTCATTTCACAATACTTTTTTGTAATGTATATAACCATGTTTGACACTGTAAATGCTTTTTAATTCCTATTTTAGAAATAAAAATATGGAAATACTATTTGATATATTTGTAATATTTTACTCATACGTTAGTTTTTTTCTCAAAAGACAGAGCCATAAAAAAGTATATTAAGTTTTAGATATTTAAAAAATATAAAATCATTGCATAGTACTCAAGCTTTTACACCACTTGCTCAATCATAAACCAAATAAAGATAATAATTCCGTTTATATTGAAGTAGTGGAAAAGCTCGAATAATTAAACAAAGGAAAAAGAATATGGTTCTAATTACGGTGTGGGAAAATGAAAACATGGATCACATTATTTTTAAAATTTGTGAAAACATATGGATCGGATTTAAAGTATTGTGAAGAAGACGGAGGGAGTATATTTTTTCTCGATGTAATATCTAAAATTTTTTATTTTCTAAATACTATTTAAATAATGTCTAGTGGCGGTAGACATTTACTTTGAATAATGTCAAGTGGCGGTGGACATTGAAAAATGGTACCACAATATGATACTACATTAGGAAACTCATAATGTTTAATACTGTATAGGTAAATTCCCAATTTTTAGTTTCACATAATAGATTTGTAGGCAAAGTAATTTTTATATGGAATGACCTATTTGGTTGGAAGGGAGTGATGGAGAATGAAATAATAGGAGGAATGGAAAAAATGGGAGGAATTTCCTTCAAAAATCTTCTTGGACAGAAGTAAAAAGTATGAAAATATCAAAATAAGAGTTCTAAGTATTTTAAAACTAAAATAGAAGTATAATGACAATGTGGTGTAAGAGTACGCGTTGGCAATGTGATGAAAAAGTGATGACAGTGCAATATATTAGAGTAATCAATCAACTGTCGATGATCCGCGCGACAACACTTGGTGGTCGGCGATGTCGAATGACAATGTGATGATGATAATGTGACAATTAAAATGTGATGAGTGTGACAGTGTAACAATGATAATGTGAACTCCTATTTTGGTCTTAAAAGTTTTATGAGTTCTATTTTGTATTTTCATTGTTTTTTTCTCCTATATATCTAGAGAGTTCTTCCATTTCCTATCTATAGTGTGCCAGTTACAATGTGGTGAGTGTGACATTCATTTATTTTATTACTTCTATCACTATATTATTATTATTACCATTATTATTATTAAGGGGTGAAGGGAGTGATACATTTTTTGACGAGTTTTATTATGATCAACTTGGTTTTTTTCCGTTTTTATTTCTTATTCTAAAACACAGCTCTATTTTAACAATTCAAAGGAACAGAATCATAAAAAAGTATATCAAGGTTTAGCCGTTTAGGTATTTAAAAAATTATAACTCCATATTCTGAAATCCAGTTCTGTTTTTACAATTAAAGAGAACAGAGCAATAAAAAAGTATATCAAATTTTAGGTATTTAAAAAATTATAATTTCTTATTCTAAAATCCAGCAGCTCTTTTTTTATAATTCACAAGAAAAGAAATTATCCTAAATAGGAGCGAAACGTAGAATATATATCAAAATATGAACTCCATTTTTTATTTCCTAAATAGGAGTTCGTGCTGTGGTAATGTGATACTGTACATGGACATTTCACAATACTTTTTTATAATGTATGTAGTCATGATTGACATTGTAAATGCATTTTAATTCATATTTTAGAAATAAAAATATGAAAATACTATTTGATACATTTGTAATAATTTATTCCTACATTAGTTTTTTTTCTCAAAAGACAGAGCCATAAAAAAGTATATTAAGTTTTAGATATAAAAAAAATTTAAAATCATTGCATAGTACTCGAGCTTTTCCACCACTTACTCAATCATAAACCAAATAAGGATAATAATTCCGTTTATATTGAAGAAGTAGTGGAAAAGCTCGAATAATTAAACAATATTTTAGCTATACATCTTGACTATGATATAGTCCTTTCGGCAAACTCACTTGTCCAGGGGGGATAATGAAGAAAAAAGAATATGGTTCTAATTACGGTGTGGGAAAATGAAAACATGGATCACATTATTTTTAAAATTTGTGAAAACATATGGATCGGATTTAAAGTATTGTGAAATGACTAATTATGTAATATAAGTCGGCAAAAATCACCCCGCTTAAATTCATTTCATTTAAAAAAAAATTGATATATATAATCTTGCCTATTACTCCCTCTGTCTCATTTTAAATTATCTGTTTACCTTTTTTCTCCGTCCCAAAATAAATTGCCTGTTAGAAGACTGTTACTTGTTATCGTCAACTTTTAAGAGTAAAATACCTAAACTACCCCTAAAATAAGTCACTCTTCTCCACCTTATATTATCATTCATCGTCATCCCTCCTAAAAAGTAATGACAATTTCAAAAAATTAACTCTATTTTTTCTCTTCCTTAAATATGCCCAAAAGTCAAAACAAACGATTTAAAATGGGACGGAGGGAGTACATACTCCCTTTGTTTATAAGTTTTCTTGTCATTTGACTTTCAATGATTTTTAATGTAAAATCTTAACTATTAATATCTCTATCTATGTAGTATATAATAAAAAAAATATAATCTTTCAAAACTATGTTTCAAAATGAATATATTAACGTAAAATTTATATGATAATTTAATTTATTTTTCTCGTGATGTATGGTTAAAGTTCAAAGAATTTGACAAAGAATCAAAGTGGGAAAAAGAAATTGGACGAGTATAAAAATGGGTAGGTGGATATAGCCAACGGATTGAATAACCATTGTTTAATTATTCTCGTTTACACATTTATGCATACACACAATTTATTACTCCGATATAATGTAGTATCTCTTCATACCATTTTCAAGTTAATAACGCAGAATGAATTAATATCTCCGACTCCGACAGAGCTCAAACTTGGGAGAACTTCTCTAAATATCTTGAGAATCAATTAACAATCTCAACACTTTTTTTAAGAAGAGACAAATCATTTGAAGGATTAGAATGAAAATGATACATATTCATGAAATTAAACAACAGTACACAATTAACTAACACAAAACAAAAAGATCAAAAAAACCCCATTTAATTTAACTTGACCCAACCAAGATGGAAGAAGCCTTATTAGGCACAAATGAAGTCAGAAGGGGGTTGTTGTTTGCCACAAGTGTTGAGAAGAAGACTGAGTGAGATGGGAATGTCAATGTTGATCCTGAGAACGTTGGCTTTCAACGCCGTGCAGAGGCACACGGCGGCCTCCAGATCCAGCAGGCCGCCGAGTGCCGAGCAACAATGTGGCGAGTCGGGTGGGGTCCCGACCACGGCTCCCACGTTTCCGTTCAGCAAATTGGCACATGCCCCTAACTTTAGGGCATCCCTAGGGCAGTGTCCTTCGGCTGAGTTCGGATTCGGGTTCGGGTTGTGTGGGCAACCAGTGGTGCACCCACTTACTAGAGTGAAGGAAAGTAGGGTTGAGGAGAGAAATAGAGCAAGTGACAGTGGTGTTTTTGAATCCATTGCCAATGGTTGGCTCTATAGTGACGTTTGGTTTAGTTTGGGGGAATTTATAGTGGAATTGTTTGCACCAATTATATTGTAGTTCCAAATAAAGAAATTTTTCGAAAGTATTTACGTTTGAATGAAAAGGAAAAAAAAATACGGAGTCGAAAGAAATGGAGGCATGTGACCATGTGAACACAAGAATGGTTATTAGGGCTTTTCTAGAATTAGAAAAACAATTTATGCCAATACTTTAAAATTTTGAAATTTTACATGAATATTTCAAAATTACTGTCATTCTTAATATTTTTAAAATTAATTTACATCGATAAAATTAATGTAAAACGTTAACACTAATTGAAAACATTATTTACAAACAATCTCATAAAATGATTTTTTCCTTGTCTTTGTTTTCCTCTCACTTTTTTTCTCTTATATATAAGCACCAAACAAAAAATTACAACATTTTATTTTATTTTTTCAAATTCCTCGAATCAAAGAGAGAATAACTTATCCAGATTTTTTAAACTCTACTTTGTTGATTTCTAAACTTGATTTAGCCTCTTAATTATAGGTTCTAAATTTTAATTTTTGGACACCAGATTCAAACAAAATTTAAAGTTTTATGTGCAAGACTCGAAACGACAGCACATACACGCAAGGGAGCGTGTTAGAGTATAATTATTTCTTATGCCGCAACCATAAACTTGAACTTTTGGTTGAGTTGGATTCTTGACACCAATGTTATAGAATAATTGTATTAGGAGCTTAGGAGCCGGTAAGGTTAACCTTTTTTTTGTGTTGAGTAATGTTGCGTGAAATTTGCACTAAATAGTACGAAAACAAATGTCTTTTTTCAATGTAGTACCTAAAATTTTTTATTCTCTAAATGGTATTTGAATAATGTTCAATCATGGAAACAATGTTCAGTGACGGTGAAGATTTTCTTTGAACAATATCAAGTGGCAATGGAAATTTACTTGAGCAATATCTAGTGGACATTGAACAGTAGTACTACATTAAGAAATTAAATATATGATACTACATTAGGGAACTCATAATGTTTAATTTTATATAGGTAAATTCCCAATTTTTAGTTTCACATGATAGAATTGTAGGCAAAGTAATTTTTTTTTATATAGAATGACTTGTTTGGTTGGAAGGGAGTGATGGAGAAGGAAGGAACAGGAGGAATGGAAAAATGGGAGGGATTTCCTTCAAGAAATATTCTTGGATAGAAGTAAAAAAGGTATGAAAATATCAAAATAAAAGTCCTAAGTCTTTTAAAATCAAGATAGAAGTATAATGACAGTATGGTGTAAGAGTAAGTGTTGGCAGTGTGATGGAAAAATGAAAACAGTGTAATATGCTAGTGTGATCAGCCAACTGTTGGTGATCCGCGCAACGACACTTGGTAGTCGGCGGCGACGGATGACAATGTGTGGCGGTGATAGTGTGACAATTACAATGTGACAATATGGTGAGTGTACGTAGGTAGCAGTGTAACAATGACAGTGTGAACTCTTATTTTAGAACTTCACCGTTCATAGTTTTTACTCATGTCTAGGGAGTTCTTCCATTTCCTTCACCTTGTTTGATTAGAAGAGGGGGAGAAAAGTATTACTAGTAATTTTTTATTTGTTTATTTTTATGATTTTTACTTTTCAATTTTAATATTTGTTATTTATTTCAAGTATTTTTTTTGTTTTATTAATAGCATTTACTTATTCATTTATTCTATTAATATTATCACTGTATTATTATTATTATTATTACAATTATTATTACTAATATTATTATTTCTACTATTATTATTATTATTATTTATTTTATATTTATTTTATTTATTATTATTATAAATTTTTTAATGATAAGATAGAGATAAAATTGACGGAGTAACACGAAGGACAGCAAAGACAATGATAAACCATGTGATTTAGAGAGAATGATTAGGGATTAGGAGGAGAGGAGAGGGATTTGAAGCTAAAATTCGGACTCCCTCCGTATATTTATAAAAACAAGACAAGGTAATTGCACTTGGAGGCAACTATGTCAAGCATAGAGCCTCTGCAAGTACCAAGTGCAGGCTCTACTCTTTATCATCAATCTACGTTTAAAGTTCAATTTACTTCTTCTCAGTGACCGTATAGCCGGATCTGAGGGAACACTAAGAAATGGGGCTCATCCTTTTTCTCCCTCCCCTCCCTTCCCTTCCCTTTCTTTCCAACCTAACAGCTAAATGCGTTAACACTTAGGGTCCGTTTGGTATACGGAATTGATGGAATTGGAATTGAAATTATATGGGATTCAATTACATAGAATTGAATTCATCGATTCCAATTCATTTTTGCACTACCAATTCCTAATCCACATAATTTTTATGCTACCAAATATCTGAATTGGAATTGAAGTCCTCAATTCCAATTTCATAGTTTGAATTCTGTGTACCAAACGGGACCTTAGAGATTAATTGTGTTAAAAATTACAATGATTTGGATTTGAATCGTGTGCAATTTTACCCTCAATCATACATTCATTTTTATTTGTCTATCGATCTATCTATCATTGAATACACACGGAGTACATCATATTTATTCGTCAGTTCTTAGTGAAGCAGGTGCAAAACAAATGAAATTAATAACAATGTTTATATTACTAATATAATAAGGCCCCCCTTCTCTTGACAACAAGAAAAAGTGTCATATTATGACAACAAAGACGTACGATGCTCCATTCGAAAAATTAATGGTTTCTACCTCATAATCCCATCTAAATCCTCCACACTAGTAGCCCCCTGCCTCCACCCTAAAAACACCGATTGGCTACAAAGTTACTGTAGCCAATCGCGTTTTAAGATGGTGTACAGGGAGGCTGTTGCGGATTGGGGGCAGGACAAGGGGTTATGAGATAAGAATCATCAGTTTTTTGAACGAAACACCGTAGGTCCTTATTGTCATAATATGACAACAAGAGTTAGTTGTCAAAAGAAGCCCACCGATATAATAATGATTGGTATCAGTGTACTAATAACGTTTTTACCAGTTCGTAGAAGAGGTTAGACCAGACGAGCTTCGTGGATAAGACACTTTCGCTAAAGACATAGACACCTAGAAACGATGCTCCTCGGAATGATCATCCAACACATTGATATAGCCCAGGTTATAACTCTAAACCCAGATGTCAAGTTATTCACCGCTTATAGATCGGAAAAGTAGTATGATACGAACTCGTATCGGATAGGGAAGATTCAGAGCGTCTTCGAACTCTTGAGAATATGAGACGAGGGAGAAGAAGAAGAATTGAGGCGAAGAATGGAATCGGCGAACCGAGAGGGGGAGAAGGAATTAGGGTTTTGATTTGTTTATTGATTGATTATTCTAAAGGAGTTACATCTCTATATATAGAAGACAAAGAAACCTAGCTAACCCTAAACCTAACCTGACGGTTCAATAAAAGCGACGAGAGAAAGAACCGTAAAGAAACCTCGAAGGAGCTTATAATTTCGCTCACCTAATAAAAACCTAAATTACAATATTATAATAATAATAATAATAATAATAATAAACTAATAAATATATAATCTAATATCCTACTATATAATCCATAACATAGTAATTATCAGGAATACACGTGAAGGGATCCACACCATTGGATGATGGTGAAAATAGGCTTGGATGTGATATTTGGGGGGGGGGAAGATTGATGAGTAGAATATTGTAAACATACAAAAATAGGAGTTTCATATTTTTATTTCTAAAGTAAGAGTTAAAATACATTTAAAATATCAATCATGACCATATACATTACCACAAAGTATTGTGAAATGTCCATGTACAGTATCACATTAGCACAGTGCAAACTCCTATCTAGGAGATAAAAACATTGAGTTTCTATTTTAATACTTTTTCTATGTTTTATTCTATTTATGATGATTTTTTATTTTTTAGACGTGCCAATAAGTGACAAAGAAATCTAAAATACTATCGAAACAGATTAACGAATGTGTCACACTTTATTCACATGTCTATAGTCTTATTCACATACCAACACTCGACACTCAATTTTCGATCAAAATCAATTTTATTTAAAATACAGAGTTTGTAAATTTTATTTTATACCAATTTTTAAATAAAATAAATTAAAAAATTTTAAATTTTGTTTTGTTTTACATAGTGCGACAAACATTATGGGACAGAGGAATATTTTCTTTTTGTTTGCTTTTGATTTTTTTTACTCCGTATTTGAAAAAGGTTTGCTTTTGAATTTGATTACAAAGGACCACCCAATGGCCAATGGGCCACAAGAAGTACTCCCGTGACTCCATAGGCCTTGTAATTCGAGCCATTCTGTTTTTTTTATTTAAAGAATTCCCACTTGGAGCCCCGCAGCGGGTCAAATAATACTCCGTACTCCTTCCCTGTCAAAATATTGAATTTGTTTTTAGCAAAGAAAAAAAAAATTGGAAATCATATTCGAAGTATTCATTTTTTTATAGAAAGAAAAAAAGTTTAATCCTTTAATAAAAAGGTGCATAAATCGTAGTACGAGTAAAAAATAAAATGTAAAGATTGTTTTTTGGTAATCGAGATTTTCCATGGAGTGAAATTGTACTCACTACTAGATGACAATCGGGTCAATTGGTTTCGTTTTGGTTCAGATCTTTGTAGTTCGAATCTCTTTTACATATAAGTCATAATTGGTTCGGGTCGATTTGGTTTAGTTCGATTTCAGATTTAATTCAGTTTCATTTTTTTCTGGTTTCGATTCAATTAGATATTAGTTCGAGTTTATATCGGCTCAAGCTTATATCCGTTTGAGTTTATATGAGTTTGGTTTTATAACGGTTTCGGATGAGATCTCCTTGGTATTAGGCCAATTAGGATTCTTAATGTTAGTCTTGTGTGTAGCATCCTCTCTCCATGTGTAAAGGGGGTATATATATACAAGTCTCACAAATAATCGATAGTATATCTATCAATGTGTGTTACAATAATGTCACTATAAATTATATATACTCTGAATAAAATTAAAATAGACAATCACCTTAGTCTAAGTGATAAAATTCTGAGCAAAAGAGTTGTATATGAAAGTAGTTATACCTATAATTCAAATATTTTTTTCTTAGAAAGCCATCAACTAATGAGCTATTAGGTTTAACTGGATTTGAGTTTAGTTGGTTTTGAATTTCATGAATATCAAGTCTAATCGATTTTAGATCTAATCGATTACAGGTTTAATCAGTGACGAGTTTAATCGATTCTGCTTTTAATCGATTCAGATTCAATCGAATTTTGATCTGAATCGAGTCTAAATACATTCAGTTCGGGATACTAGATCAAGAAGCTAGATCAAACCCGAATTTCAGTCAACAAGGTTATGATACTAGATCAAGAAACTAATTCAATAAAAAACTAAACCTTTTAAATTGTATGCCTAGAAGGACATAATGGAGACAAAAATAATTATATGCACTAGGATTAAGCATAGAAACATTGGGATATCTATTATACAATGTCATTACAATGAAAATGTCTTCAAGCAATATAATTGTGAAAATTATTCTCCTCTTAACACTCCATAGATTCTAACATAAAGTTCATGCCTAACAAAGGTGAAGTTGTATCAAGCTAGACTAAGGGCTAGTGAGTAGTGACTATTCAATGTATGTGTTAGCCTTGATTTGCTAAATCTTGTGTTTTGAAGTTAACATACTCCGTATGAGCTAACTAACATTGAGGAATGACAATAATACATCAAGTATCAAATCTAAAAAATGAAGTCGGAACACTAAGCTAGCGTGAAATATAGGTAGAAACGAATGTAAAAATGTGATTTTGTATGCCTATTTTTACAAGCTCAAATGTACTCATAAAATTTGTTTAAAATTTTCTTTTAACCATTTTTCAGACATACACAACGGTTTCCATTACCAGGATTTACTGCCGACCGTGACCCATTATCATTACCGTGTCAAGAGAACATACCATATGATTTTGGCCTATGATGGTACTGTTCACTATCGTGACCGGGACCTCACTACACTTATCGGGATTGCACTACCGTGTGGCGATACTGACTGCTACCGTGTTCAATGTTCAGAATATTCTAAATGTTGATTTCCTTTTTAATCACCTAGATTACCTCAAATCAGCCTATATTAACCTCCAACTCATACATACTTTAGCTTCTCTACTATAAATGTAGAAATATTATTAGAACTGAGCTGAATTGGAGGGTTTCATTAATCACAAAAACCTTATTTATACAAGCATAACTCCAACCTAATTACGAGCCCACTAACAGGCACAACGATGCCATGACCTAATTACATCCGCTAAAGAGCATTTTTCTCTTCCTATTTGTGAAGAGAACAAATTTAGCACAGGATTATGAAGTGTTAAAAGACAAAACTTATTGCATGAAAATGTGAGATGATATACTTTAGTGTAATTTGATCAACGGCATTAAGCATTAAACCATGAGCTGGTCATATATCAGACCCACGGATTCGGAAAGAGGAAAGGAATCATATATTTGCAACTCTCAGTTCACATGCATCCATAACAAAATCGTTTTCATCTTTTGAAAGTGGTTCCAGCTAATTAAACAAACAATTATCACATAATTAGTAAGGAGTATTAATAATCTATTTACCACCTAGTCTGACACCATCCATTTCAGAGATATCACAGACATTTATCGTCTGTGACGCATTATCAACTCAATTAGAATATATCATCCGTTCATACACACACTAGAATGAATTGTCTTAAACTCCGTATTTATTTCAGTTCCATACTATTCCTTCCATCTCACAAAACATTTTCACCTTTTTATTCGTTAAAAAGAAAACTCTCTCTTTCAATTAATATCACTATCTATTCCTATAAATTGTTGACTATTACATCATACATAGTAATGAATTTATCAATCACGCCTTGTTCTCACACCATAAAATAAAAGTAAAATTAGGAAGTAACACTCAGGTTATACTTACTTTAAATACCAAGAACTTTCTCACATGTGAATTTTTTTTTGAATCGAAACGAGTAGTATATATTGTTCAATTTGTAATAGAATAAATCATACTCCAATCCCTCCATCACAAAAGGCTCTTAATTTGGTTTGACACAAAATTTAAAAAAAAAAAGAAAATGAAAAATAAAGGTGATAAATCATTAGAATTTTAAAAACCACATATTAAAACTTAATGATTACTTAATGAAAAGTTCTTTAAGAAAGAATGATAGTAATATGCTTCTATATAAGTACTCCACCTTCCCCATAATCTCCTCACTCTCACTCCCCTCCAAAATCCTCTCTTATATAAACTCATTTCTTAATTACAATCTCCTCATTAATTAGCAAAGGGTCATTAATGGCTTCCAATAAAAGCTCCCATCTCTTAGCTCTAATCCTTGTGATCAATATTCTCTTCTTCAAGTTGGTTAGTGCGTGTGAGACTTGCGGCCCTAAACCACCGCCCCCAAATTACCCAAAGACACCATGCCCACCTTCTTCCAAATTAGGCAAGTGCCCTAAAGATGCCCTAAAGTTGGGTGTTTGTGCAAATGTGCTTCATGACTTGCTTCATCTTGCGCTTGGTGTCCCTCCCAAGAGGCACTGCTGCCCTCTAATTGAAGGGCTTGTGGACCTTGAGGCTGCTGCTTGCCTTTGCACTGCCATTAAGGCTAATGTTCTCGGGATTAATCTAAACGTCCCGGTTTCCCTCACCATTCTCCTAAACTTCTGTGGCAAGAAGGTTCCATCCGGCTTTCAATGTTATTAATCGTGTCAAAGAATCAACTCAGCCAAAAACTGAGCTTTTGTGTTAAAGTGAGGTCATCATTCCATGCATGTGTGGTTTTCTTTTTGTTTTCTTTTTTCTCTTCCCTTTATTGCATTGCTTTTGCAACTATTTGATGTTGTCACTTTAGATATGAAAATGTTCTTGTGTTTTGCTTTGAGGTGCTATATATAATTACTAATGGATGTGTGCAATACAATTTCATCTACAATATGTGGGTCTCTTTGGGAATATCGTTAAAGGTTAGCGTTAATATTTTGAAAATGTTATCTATGAGGAGTGTTTTCAAAATTAATTCGCACATTTAAAGAAAGTGGGCCAAAATTTGCTCCAATACCATGATAAAGTTTAATATAGTCTCCTGGGTCAGAAAACACTTGAATTGAATTACATTAAAAGATTGAATTCAATCAATATTTTAAATCAATTGAAGAGCTTATAAACCTATTATTTTTCTGTTAAACTTTTGATATGGGATACTCTAACAAGAAATAGAGTCTATCTCACATTATTCATGTAGTTTAACTTTTTTGAGTCAAATTAAATAAATTTTAATAATCAATTAAATAAAAATTGTGATGAATATTAATGCATTTATACGGAGTATTTATCATGCATAAACTTTACAAAAATATTTGTTTCATTATTTTTTGATTAATAATTTGTCTCATTATATTCATATGTAATACACTAAAATTTTTAATTAATTATAGAAAGCTCGCTCAGTCTGACTGAAAACTAAACTGAACAATTTGACTTAAAAATAATTTTTGATTCATTAAACTTGTCCTTTTTATATGAATCTAACTCGTATGTCCATTTCTTATTTAAAATATCAAAGCTTTGTACCTGAGCTGAGTATACGGTGGGAATGTAGGTTCACGAATCACGCAATCGGTAAATAATCTTACCTTGCACTCACAAATTAAAAAACTTACCTTTCTAAATATTATGAGTTCTAATGTTAAATAGATTTTTTTTTTTGAGATAAACACTTTAGACAACAAAATAATGACCAAGATATGGCATTTACCCGTAACTTTTCAATTGTTTTTTTTTTTGGTTTCTTATACTTTTTTTTTTGTTTTAGACTGGACTCTAAATCACCTCGAACCGTGTAATAGGAGTCGTTTGACGCATAAATAAGAAGGGTATGTGCCTCTAAAACAAACAATTGGGACCTTTAACGACCCATAATAAGGGAAATCCATCTACACAAACCATTGTTTGCAAACCAAAGGGGATGGCAATACCGGCCATTGACTCCTATGGTACTCGATAGGGAACATGGACAACTTAGGCACGTAATAGCCCTCAAGATAATACCCTTTTTTTTTAGTGCATGTAATATTCTTTTATTTCCATTTCTCAAATTAATATGTCCATTTTTACTTCATTTATTTAAAAAATGTTAAATAACAGAATTAAAATTTATACTCTCCGTCCCGAATTTATCGTCACCGTTACTATTCTGACCTTTGATAACTTATGCTTTTCTACACATTTTCATTGACTATTGGATAAAATAAAATATTCATATCACATCTTGTTTTATAAAACTTTTGAAGTTTAGAAATATGTAATTTTATTTTTAATTTATATACTAATGAGCAAAGTCTGCGTACACACACCCTCCCCAGACCCTACTGTTGTGGGATTCACCTGGCTTGTTGTTGTTTATATACTAATGTGCAAATAAAATAATTTTAAAAGAGATAAATTGTACACGCTGTTCAAAGCGAGACTCTAATATACACATTTGACTTTTGGAACTGTTCATCTAAGCACTTTGACTCATCAAATTCTCTTAATGTGTAAGCCTAAAAATAGTCATGTGTGATCTTGTTTGATTCGTCTTAACATATAGATTATTAATATATAATTTGTATAATTTTTTAATATACAAATTACAAGATAAAATGGATTAAAGAAGTGCATTGGATGGTGTGCCAAAAAGTAAGTGGACAAACACAGTGGGACGGAGGGGGTATTTAAAAATGGACAGAGGATACCCATATGATTTATGATCTCTTTGTAATATCCATCAAGTAGGCCACCGCAAATGGACCGAACAGCCTGAACGCCAACCATGGACTGACCGCCCGAATCGATTGATTCCCGATGCTTTTCACGGTCAACCATTGGGCCAAACTTGGTCAACCATTGGGCCAAACTTGGATTACAGTTGACCAAACTTACTACATTGGATGGAACGTTTCACTTGACTGTTTTGTTGTCGAAGAATGGGATGGTAAATGGGTTTACAGGTGACCATTAAACGGTATTTTAGAATCCAAGAAGTTTACTCTTAATTCCAAATGGTAAGCAGTAACATCTTGGCATCTTGGATGTCTCTAATTAACTTGATGCACTTATTTCATCATCCCAATAGCACATTTATAATGACTATTATTCACATAAAACCATAAAACATAGTTATCAAACAAGACATGTTGCTAAGACCACCAGGTAGTGTACGTAATGCAACTATACACAGATACTTGTATTTGCTATACATGAATAACAGTTACCATAATGCATGCTTCGTTTGCTTTACGGCGTTTTGGCTCAAAGTGCCAAACTTTTTCGAAGGTGGGAAACTTCTTTCATCGGCATTATGGCCACCAAAATGCTAACGCGCCCCTTATGGTGGTAGGTACATAGTGAAATGGCAAGAAACCCGGTGTTTTCATTATGGCTAGACCGAGATACGGTCATCTCCAAATGTGTTCTCTCCACTATAGGTGACATAGAGGAAACCATCTTCGTCCTTCTTATCATCATAAATAGCAGACATGATTCCCCCTGCAGATAGAGAAGAATATGCCAATATGATCATGTTTCAATTGCTTCTTCAATGGCATGGCATTATAGAGAGGGAGTGTTAGTGTGGAACGTTTGCAAGTATTTGGGCGTACCTGTTGGTGGAAGAACATTGTCAACAAATATGAATATTGCTTTCTCGGCACTCAGTTTGATCCTTTTGCGAATTACATAGACAAATTGTCCAACTGTCAAGTCAGCTGGGACAAGATACCTGTAGAGTTTATCCGTCACAAGACTGAGAATCTCTGGAGTCTCAACCCTCAAAAGAAAAAACAGCATGCCAGAGAGAGAAAGAGAGGAGATGGGGCGCTAATTGTGCTCCATCCATTCTCAAATAACTATACATTAATGCAAAAATTGGATAAGGTATCATTTTGTGCAATGCCAATGGAACTATAAGAGTCCTGTTTTACAATGTTTTTGGTTTGATTAGGAGGTGGGTGGGAGGGGAGGAGAAGGGATAGAAGGGGATGGATAGGAGGGAAAGGCAAGGGATGGAAGAGGGAAGAACGGAATTATTCACTTTGTTTTACTATTTTTACTGCTCATTTCATAATAGAATTTGTTTTGTAGAACTTTTAATCCACTTTTTACATATTCAATACTCTCCTATAAGAAAATAGGGAGTAATTCTCAATGTATTTAAGTATTGCTCATATGCAACATTTATATGTTTTCTTGCACAGAAAAAGAGTTCTAAGCATTAATGCCCTTAAATCATGACAATATTATACACTACAGTCTACAGCAGAAATCAGAGTTCTTTTCTCTTGACTATATTTTTCAGTTTACACATTACTCTTACTAGATGTACAATTGTCAAAGAATACCAAAACAACTTAGCTTCTTCACACTCTTTGTGAAGAGGGGGGAAGGATCTTTTTGCATTTAGCATGGTTTTTAGAAATGAGGGGGAGAAGGTAAATTACGAAAAGTAAACCTTACTTTTTCTTGTCGATGTTAGGAATATCACTTCTTTCTGCTTTCTCAACGATCACCTGCGGATCCACAACAACATATTCACATCCAAATTCAAATAAAGTTACATTTACTTCTGAACAGTTGCTTTATTTTCACAGTGAAAGAAACACAAGCTTGGGATACCATGAAATTACAACAATCCTTCCAGACATCAGATCATACAGCTTCCTCTTTTTATCATTTTTATCATTGCAAATGTAATAGCAGTTCGTGAAGCTGCATTACACATTGATAATCATAAACTTTTTGCTTTATTTGGATTAAAAATGATTATAGTAAGGTTAAAAATGTAAATGAAAGCGGGTTCCACAAATTTCCCCAACAGATCTCTCCCCCATTAAGAGAATTTTTTGCACACCTCAACTTTTCTCTATTCTACCATTTACTAAGAAAACAATTTTGTTTTCTCTCCAGCTTCTCTCCCACACTTCTTTCCAAAATCACACCAAACAAACAAGAGGTTAGCATGTGCAGACAGACATAGGCATGTACATGTCCACCTTTGATGACATCTTTCTCTTATTTATCACCTTCACAAGCCATATTTGTTATTAAACACCAACTTCTTCGATTATGTTCCAATGAATTGATTAATAATATAAAAAGGTTGTGCAAAGAGATTCTTTGTTGCTAAAGTTACTGAATGTATGAAAATGACACTTCACTACTTAGTTTAAGATATCATTTTATATAATTTATTAAGAGTATACATTTTTCAACTTTTTTGCACCGCATATCCGTCACAATTTCAACATGCTTTGTAACTCCAGCCAAGTTTACCCTTACGAACAAACTGTTAGATCAAATTAACAACAGAAAGGAAGTCTTGAACTCCACAAGTGGCAAGAAAATTGCAGCCTCGTTCAACTCAACTGATCATTAAGCTATATCCAAACATTTAAAGAGGCTCTTTTGAGACATTCATATGAATAAATAAACCAAAAGCAATGGCATAAAATGAAGCAAGGGATCCCAATTAGAAAGCAACAGTTCAATTGCAGTGAATCGTGAAGAAAATGAACTCTCACCGGAATCCTATCTGGGTATTTTTCCCTGATCCTAGCTGCCTCAGCACACCTCTTCACTGAAATAGTCAAGCCCACAATACTCAGAGCTTCAATTCAACAACAAAAGCAAAGAACCCAGAACTTCCACTCCAACAATATAAATTGATTTGGTGCAAATTGCAAAAACAAAAGGATGTACAAACCAAGATCATGCTCTTGCTTGAATGAACTCCTTGCCATCCCTCCTATAAACAAAAACCCAAAACATATTTAAAACTCGTACTCGGTTATTCAGTTTCACATACCGACACCTTCTTACGTAATACTACATTGACCAAATACAAACAGAAATGGTAAATTCTTGTAAACCTCGGACCATCTCACACGAGCAATAAATTATTACCCTGTATATGAATATGCATTCATTTTTTTCATTTATCAATTTGCTTATATGAGAAGGTCCGGTGTGAATCTTAGGTCAAAGCACTCAACATAAATATAAGGCATTAGACTACCCCTAGTGTAAGGTTGACTTTTAGAACAGATAACAAAGTCTTAATAACAAAGTTCATTAAGCTCAAAGGAACAATTTGATCCTGGTAAAGCTAAACAAAGAACACACATAAATCAAATTTGATGTTGATACACAGCATCAATCAGTTCAATTATAAAACCAGAAGCAATAATTTCTTAAACACTCCAAAATCAATCCTCCATGAAGTTTAACCTAAATACCATTAACTGAACAAAACAATTACTCGTAATTATATATTTGAACATAAAAATGGAGCAGTACTATTACGAAATTTCTAAATCACATTATAGCTAAAGCTTTTAATTGTCGATAACTATGAAGTATACGCAGCCAACGGAAAATAAACCGTCATAATCAATATTACCACACCGTCTACACGACGACGGAGAACAATTGATCGGCCGGAAAGAGGAAATGATACCGACCTGAAACGGTTTACAGGGCCTTGGGGCTGATTGGAATTGAAATTGAATGGTTGGTTTTTGTTTTCTTGGACTCCCTAAATACAGCGTGTAATTAATGGGCCAATCTTTTGATTTTTTTAATCATTATCCATTCTTTTCTTTGTTTCTTTTTTATTTGGAGGAAAGACCTAAATAGGACTAAAACATTAAAAATATACCAAAATAGGAATTTCATGTTTTTATTCCTAAAATAGGACTTACATTACTAAGAAAGTATAGTAATTTGTACATGTACACTGCCACATTACCACAATGCAAAGTCACATTACCACAGTGCAAAGTCCTATTCCAGGAAAAAAAACATGAAAGTCCTATTTTGATACTTTTCTCTATGTTTTAGTCCTAATTAGGATTATTTTTATTTTATACAAAGAACTCCCTAATACTCCGTAATAGATATGGGTAGAAAAATATGTTTATAAGATCTATCTTGTAAAATATTTTTAAATTACTCCTTATATTTTATGCAATTAATATAATATACAATTTTTATTGTATAAAGCTATTTGCACAACAAGATTTGTACTCTAATTTGTACCTGTAAATGTGCACTTTCATTTTGTATGAGTGCAATGCTAAGATGTTAGTTCTCACAAATATAAAATATTAGTACAAATTTTGGTATAATTTTGGATATATTTTTTGTGTAAGTGTAGATGGTTTAAAATGGAAAGCAGGGCCAGGCCCTAAGATTCCTGTTGAGTTTGGACTCCGGTAGCTATCTTGATCAAGGGGTCAGCCGGGAACCCCAAATAAACCTTCATATATTAATTCTCCCCCAATTTCGAATTCCTCAAGCCCAAAAAAAAATTCCAGAATCTCTCGATAAGCTTCTTATTTTTTTTCATTCATTCACAGATCGGGATTGCGATTTGCAGATGGGGATCATAAGGAGCTCTTTCAGTTTCCTGTTCGGGACGGCGGTGGGGGTTTACATCGCCCAGAACTACAACGTCCCCGACCTTAACAAGTTCTACCGGACCGGCGTCGTCATCGCCAAGCAGTGGGAGGAGAATTACCGGAAGCCGAAGAAACCCGAAGGAGATGAGTAGTTAGTTTATGCCTTTTCCGATTTTTGCTTGCGATTTTCGGGTTTTCCTGAGCCGATTGGCGTTGAGGAATTTGTTGGATCTTCTTTTAGTGTTACTAGACATGAATCATGAATGATATTATTGATGCAGATTGAAGGTTACTGAATCGTTTTCTTCTGTTTTTTTTTTTTTGATTTGGTAAAATTTATTTTCTCTGTTTGGGAAGACGAATTAGTGCTTGATCATGGAGGAATTGATTCTTGTTTATGGTTTATTTTAGTGACTGTAGAATAATTTTTTTGGTTGCTGTAAAATACTCCGTAGGTTATAAACGTTTTTACTTTGCAAATGATCTGTAATTATCACTTACCAGTATAATTTGTTGAGATAATACACTATTTTTGTAATTAGCAACATAGTATTTTGTTAACGACCTTAGTATAATGACACCGCTGTAATTCTCCCAAATGAGAGATTACTCTTTCGTCCCTAATGGGGCATAACTTTATGAGTTTTAATAAGTTTAGAATGTAATAAACCTATATATTATTTTGTAATAGAGTTATTAGTATTTGAAAAATAACTTAATATTTCCTAATTGTTGTGTCATTCACTCATTCATCAAATTAAATCTTCAACTTTTAAATTTCAACTAGTATTTCTACCCGTGCCATGCACGGGTTTGGACGGAATTTTTTTCGATTCTATAATGTAGATCTTGATTTAAATTTGACATATTATTTAAAGGTCAAATATAAATGATCTATGTTTAATGTATTTTTACAAATTTATAATTTTTATCGCAGTATAAATTCGAAAATATATTAATACAAAAGTATTAATGATCCAATGATTTTTTTTCCTCACATTAATTTAAAAAACCTAAATTACCGACCTTATGAATATATACTTCCTCTGTCCCTGAGTATTTGTCAACTTTTGATTTTTTTTTGTCAAAATTGGTAAATTTTGACCTCAAATTAAATAAAAACGGTATTAGATATTGATACAAAATTAGTTTTATTAGATTTATTATATCATCCATTTTCAAAATATTTTTTATATACTTAATATATAATATATATTTTATTTAATTCTAAGTCAAATATTGAAAACAATTAGTCGGAAAAGTCAAAACTGGACAAATACTCAGGGACGGAGGTAGTAATTAAAAAATAGGATTCTTCTCATCCATAATCCTTATCTCCCCCCCCCCCCACCCCCACAATGATTATAAAAAGTTATTATTCATTCTTGCATTATTAAAAAACAAAATCTTAAATTAGTGATCGTAAATTTCTATGATTAAAAATTTAATTTTAAAATATTAAGAACCAATTATTCTTCTCCCCCACATTTATTTTAAAAAACATTAAAATCTTAGTGCTCTAATAATATTTTCGGGATAGTATTCTGGTCAAGATATAAAATGTTCTATCAAAATACAAATAGTTACAAATGAGAAATTGTATTTTCTTTGATGTGGTTGTAACTTGTAACTAAGTCTCGAACTTATTAGCTACTGCACTTTGGATTTTCTAGACAATTTTTCCTAATTTTTTTATTATCCTAAATCTTCATTGTCACAAATCTTCTCACGCTCTCCTTCACACCTTGATCTTCTTTGTCACAATCTTCTTTGCATAAATCTGTGCCGTCTCATAAAATATCATCTTATGAAGTTTCCATGTACGGTTGCGTAAATGAAAACGTAGGAAGTAAGTTCTCTCTCATTCAAAATTTCTTAATTTTATTTATAAACATTTTGAATTCTAACACAATAATAATATAAGTATGTACTGAGTAAATTGTAAGTTACAATATAAGATTATTTTAATTAAAAATAGTAAACCAAGTTACCGAGATAAAGTTTAAAAGTACTATTAAATCTTTTTTTAATTTGTTTATTTTAAAAATTCAATATTTTAAAATAGTCAAATTGCATGGAAATACTTTTATTTCATATCACAATTAGTCATCTTGCCATAAACAAAACTTTTATGTAAGATATGCATTGAGTCAATCTCATAGTAGACATATTATCCATTTGTCTAAAAATAAAGTACATAGTCATGACACATATAACTATTTCTTAAAAAATATAGTCTTAAGTCTTTTAGTCACCTAATTATAAATTATAAATTTCTTTGTGTAATCTCGAAATAGTCTCTTCGAATAATGTATTTTCCAAATTAGTGTTTTTAAGCATTAATTATCTATGGAGTACTTTATAGTTGAGATTTATTAACTCAGTGTCTTCCGTATATGTTTCTTAAATGAATGTTCAATGTAGGAAATTTAGGTATTTTCAACATTTAAATGAAGAGTAATTTTTCAAAATGACCCTTTTGGATTAGCCTTTTGCTAATTTAGGTCTCTGTTATAATAATTATAATTTTATCTCAATTGTACATTTAGGGGCATCTTAATGTGTTGTGTCCTTCTATTAGCCACTCATGTTTAAGCTAGTAAATTTCAAATTTCAAATGAAAAATATGTGATTCCCTTTTTTTTGCAAATATTGTTTTGTTGTATATATCTCATGCAAATATTTTTTTGTGTTTTTTTTAAAAAGTGCTTGTTGTGACTTCAATGAAGTCAAAAGTGAAATACCTATGATTATTTTTAAATGTTTTTGTAATTTTTCTTTGTGAAAACCCTTGTAACTATATTTGTTATGTTCTTTGAAACTAAATTCATATCAAGTGAAAAAATTTTGGTATGTAAAATATATGTGATTATTTTTTTGTGATAATTTTTTAAAATTTTATGTGAAAAATATAACTATTATTTTAGAAGTTGATTTTAAAAATTTATACTATTATTTTAATTATTTTAGAAGTTGATTTTTTAATTTTTTTTTTAAAATTTTAGTTCTCACTCAATTGCATAAAACTTCATGTATTGTTCTAATTTCTTTAACAATACTCCCTTTGTGTTTGGATTTGATCTTCTCAATTGACTTTTCTTGTCAATTTTGTATACTTAAACACCAATATACAGAACAAACTTTGTCTTTCGGTAGAAATATATTACAAATATCTTCTTTTTGAAACTAAGAAATCTCTTAATATTTGGTGACTCCTATTTTGGAGGAAAAAAATGTATTTTTATTACAATATTTTCTCCATGTTTATTCTTATTCTGGTACAGAGTAATTTTTTCCAAAAAATTATAGCAACACTGTACATAAGACATATACTCAGTATACAACTTAAATTGGATCTACTCATATTTTGATTAAAATTGCCACGTCATTCAATCGTTAATAGGTGGCTGGTGATCTGTTAAAATGTTGTCATGTAGATTCGTCACTTCTCGCAATTCTAGGAGATTAACTCTCAAATTTAATATGTAAAGATTCAGAAATATTTACCAAACTTTTAATTTCATATTTTCCACATCAAAATCTATGTGACATATTAGGTGTTAAAAAGAGGCTCATGAGTAAGCCACATGTCAGTTCTTAATTACCCGAGTCTCATTTTTATACATTTAGGAAAA